CAGTAATTTCTGTGTGTGGTTGGATCACCTTTCTTTGGAACGGGCATAAATATGGGTCTCTTCCAGTCAGTTGGCCAGGTAACCGTCCTCCAAATTTCTTGGCATAGATAAGTGAGCACTTCCAGTGCTGCATCCATTTGTTGAAATATCTCAGTTGGTATTCTGTCAATTCCTGGAGCCTTGTTTTTCACCAGTGCCTTCAGTGCAGCTTGGACTTCTTCCTTCGGTACCTTCTATTCCTGATCATATGCTACCTCTGAAATCGTTGAACATCGACCAGTTCTTTTTTTTTTGGTATAGTGACTCTGAGTATCCCTTCTATCTTCTTTTGATGCTTCCTGCATCATTTAATATTTTCCCTGAAGAATCCTTCAATATTGCAACTCAAGGCTTGAATTTTTTTTTTTTTAGTTCTTTCAGCTTGAGAAATGCCAAATATATTCTTCCCTTTTGGTTTTCTTAAAATTCTTATATATTTGAACTTTATATTAATGGAATCATACTGTATATGTCCCCCATGTGTCTGTCAATTTGTCATACTGTGGGGGCTTGTGTGTTGCTGTGATGCTGGAAGCTATGCCATCGATATTCAGATATCAGCAGAGTCACCCATGGTGGATAGGTTTCAGCTGAGCTTCCAGTCTAAGACAGACTAGGGAGAAGGACCCAGCAGTTTATTTCTGAAAAGAATTAGCCAGTGAAAACCTTATGAATAGCAGCGGAACATTGTTTGAGATAGTGCTGGAAGATGAGTACCCCCCTACCCAGGTTGGAAGGCACTCAAAAGATGACTGGGGAAGAGCTGCCTCCTCAAAGTAGAGTCTACTGTAATGACATGGATGGAGTCAAGCTTTCGAGACCTTCATTTGCTGATGTGGCATGACTCAAAATGAGAAGAAACAGCTGCAAACATCCATTAATAATTGGAACTTGGAATGTATGAAGTATGAATCTAGGAAAATTGGAAATCGTCAAAAATGAAATGGAACGCATAAACATCGATATCCTAGGCATTAGTGAGCTGAAATGGACTGATATTGGCCATTTTGAATCAGACAATCATATGGTCTGCTATGCCAGGAATGACAACTTGAAGAGGAATGGCGTTGCATTCATCATCAAAAAGAACATTTCAAGATCTATCCTGAAGTACAGCGCTGTCAGTAGGCATAATATTTGTATAGCTAAAAGTGCATAAAAGTGCATACGCCTACAAGGAAGACCAGTTAATATGACTATTATTCAAGTTTATGCACCAGCCACTAAGGCCAAAGATGAGGAAATTCAAGATTTTTACCAGCTTCTGCAGTCTGAAATTGATGGAACATGCAGTCATGATATATTGATAATTACTGGTGATTGGAATGGGAAAGTTGGAAACAAAGAAGAAGGATTGGTAGTTGGAAAACATGGCCTTGGTGATAGAAACGATGCTGGAGAACGCATGATAGAATTTTTCAAGACCAGTAACTTCTTCATTGCAAATACCTTTTTCACCAACATAAACTGCGACTGTACACATGGACTGCGCCAGATAGAATACACAGGAATCAAATTGACTACAACTGTGGAAAGAGACGATGAAAAAGCTCAACATCATCAGTCAGAACAAGGCCAGGGGCGACTGTGGAACAGACCATCAGTTGCTCATATGGAACTTCAAGTTGAAACTGAAGAAAATGAGAACAAGTCCACAAGAGCCAAAGTACAACCTTGAGTATATCTCACCTGAATTTAGAGACCATCTCAGGAATAGATTTGATGCGTTGAACACTAATGACCGAAGACCAGACGAGTTGTGGAATGACATCAAGGACATCATACATGAAGAAAGCAAGAGGTCATTGAAAAGACAGGAAAGAAAGAAAAGACCAAAATGGATGTCAGAAGAGACTCTGAAACTTGATCTTGAACATCGAGTAGCTAAAGCAAAAGGAAGAAATGATAAAGTAAAAGAACTGAACAAAAGATTTCAAAGGGCAGCTCGAGAAGACAAAGTATTATAATGACGTGTAAAGACCTGGATTTAGAAAACCGAAAGGGAAGTACATGCTTGGCATTTCGCAAGCTGAAAGAACTGAAGAAAAAATTCAAGCCTTGAGTTGCAATAGTGAAGGATTCTGTGGGGAAAATATTAAACAGCGCAGGAAGTATCAAAAGAAGATGGAAGGAATACACAGAGTCATTATACCAAAAAGGAATTTTGTCAACATTCAGCCATTTCAAGAGGGTAGCATATGATTAGGAACCAGTGGTACTGGAGGAAGAAGTCCAAGCTGTACTGAAGGCATTGACAAAAAACAAGGCTCCAGGAATTGATGGAATATCAGTTGAGATGTTGCAACAAACGGGTGCAGTGCTGGAAGTGCTCATTTGTCCATGCCAAGAAATTTGGAGGACAGCTACCTGGCCAATTGACTGGAAGAGATCCATATGTATACCTATTCCCAAGAAAGGTGATCCAACCAAATGTGGAAATTATCAAACAATATCATTAACATCACACACAAATAAAATTTTGCTGAAGATCATTCAAAAGCAGCTGCAGCAGTATATTGACAGGGAACTGCCAGAAATTCAGGCCAGATCCAGAAGAGGACGTGGAACCAGGAGTATCATTGCTGATGTCAGAGAATACAAGAAAGATGTTTACTTGTGTTTTATTGACTACGCAAAGGCATTCAACTATGTGGATCATAACAAACTATGGATAACATTGCAAAGAATGGGAATTCCAGAACACTTAATTGTGCTTGTGAGGAACCTGTACATAGACCAAGAGGTAGTTGTTCGAACAGAACAAGGGGATACTGTGTGGTTTAAAGTCAAGAGAGTTGTGCATCAAGGTTGTATCCTTTCACCATACGTATTCAGTCTGTATGCTGAGCAAGTAGTTCGAGAAGCTGGACTATATGAAGAACAATGAGGCATCAGGATTGGAGGAAGACTCATTAACAACCTGCGATATGCAGATGACACAACCTTGCTTGCTAAAAGTGAAGAGGACTTGAAGCACTTACTGATGAAGATCAAAGACCACAGCCTTCAGTATGGATTACACCTCAGCATAAAGCAAACAAAATTCCTCACAACTGGACCAGTGAGAAACATCATGATAAACAGAGAAGAGATTGAAGTTGTCAAGGGTTTCGTTTTACTTGGATACACAATCAACACCCTTGGAAGCAGCAGTCAAATCAAAAGACACATTGCATTGGGCAAATCCTGCTTCAAAAGACCTCTTTAAAGTGCTAAAAAGCAAAGATACCACCCTGAAGACTAAGTGCGCCTGACACAAGCCATGGTATTTTCTTTTCTTATTTTTTAATTTTTTAAAAATTATACTTTAGATGAAGGTTTGCAGAACAAATAGTTTCTCATTGAACAGTTAATATACATATTGTTTTATGACAATGGTTAACAACCCCACAACTTGTCGACACTGTCCTTTTTCAACCTTGGGTTCCCTATTACCAGCTTTCCTGTCTCGCCATGGTATTTTCAGTCGCATCATATGCATGCGAAAGCTGGACAGTGAATAAGGAAGACCAAAGGAGAATTGATGCCTTTGAACCGTGGTGCTGGTGAAGAATATTGAAGAATGAAAAATCTGTCTTGGAAGAAGTACAACCAGAATGCTCCTTAGAAGCAAGGACATCAAGACTATGTCTTACATACTTTGGACATGTTGTCAGGAGGCATCAGTCCCTGGAGAGGGACATCATGCTTGGTAGAGTACAGGGTCAGCGAAAAGGAGGTAGACCCTCAACGAGATGGATTGACACAGTGGCTGCAACAGTGGGCTGAAGCGTAACAACGATTGTGAGGATAGCGCGGGACTGGGCAGTGTTTTGTTCTGTAGTACATTCGGTCACTGTGAGTCGGAACTGACTCGACATCACCTAACAACAACTGTATCTGTATTCTTTTGTGACTTGCTTCTTTCATCCAATGTTATATTTTTGTGATTTATCCAGATTGAGGTGTGTAGCTGTAATCCATTCATTTTCATGCAGTTTAGTATTTTATTGTCTGAAACTACCAGTCTGTTTATACATTTTATTGTTGATGGATGTTTGTTGGTTTTTTTTTCCTTTGAAGAATTATGATGCTGTAATATTTTTGTACATGTGCAGAAGTTTCTTTAGGGTATATACCTTGAAGTATAATCACTATCTTGTAATTAGCTGTTCAGATGTACTAGGTAGTAGCAAACTGTTTTTCAAAGCAGTTGTACCAATTTATCCTCCCACTGGAAATGGATAAAAGTTGCTGTTGCTCCATATCCTTGCCAACATTTGGTATTGCCCAACTTCTTAATTTTAGCCAATTTAGTAGTTGTGAAAGGAGCCCTGATGGCACAATGGTTAAGCGCTCAGCTGCTAACCGAAATGTTGGCGGTTCGAACCTTCCCAGTGGCTCCACAGTCGAAGGCCCTGGTGATCTGCTTCTGTAAAGAGTACAGCTTAGAAAACCCTATGGGGCAGTTCTCCCCTGTCACGTGGGGTTGCTGTGAGTGGAAAATTGACTCAACGACACCTAACAACAACAGTAGTTGTGAAGTGGTATCTCTTTGTGGTTTCAATTTGCATTGTACTGATTGACATGAGATTGAACATGTTTTCACACATCTAGAAACCATTTGTACATCTCTTCAGTGAAATTCCTACTCAGTTTTTTTGCCAATTTTTCTTCTATGTTATCTTTTTCCATTGATTCATAGTTTTGTTTTTTCTTGTTCTTTTTAAATATTCTGGTTGCTAATTCTCTGTCACAGTTATATGAGTTGCAAATTAATATGCTTCCTGTCTCATTCTGGAAGTCCAGTCACTCAAGAAGTGCCCTAAACAAACTTGGAGATTACAACCCATTGGCCCAGGCTTCTGTGCTAGGAACTATGGTGGAAATGGCCGAGTGGCTCTGCACAGAACAGGCCCTGGCACTTTGGAGTGAGATACAGCTCAGTGGCCCCTGCTGACCTGTGATGCTTGCCTTTACAGGTGGAACAGGAGGATTTTGTAATGGAAGGGCATGGCAAGACTCCACCTCCTGGCGAAGAAAGCAAACAGTGAGTCACAGTTTATTTAAAAAGAGTTCTATTACAGATTGTCTGAAGCACTTTGGTTAAACATACTGAGAGCCTGTTTGCATGAGACATACACATTGGGGATGTTGAGGGTCTCACCAGTTGCTTCGGTGGCTGTTACTACATTGCTTCCATCTGTAAACCAACTAACTAGAGGGGCAAGAAAGTTGGCTTTGTAGTTTTGCACACTTGAGTAATCAAAACTGATGTTACACTTTAGTAAAAGGTTTAAGGCTCAGGATGTTACAAATTGAACTGAGTTTCGTTGATTTCCAAAAAAGAATGTATAAAATAGCACATCCTTTTCTTAGCAATACCTTTATGAAGTGAACTAAATTAATAGACTGGTTCTCCGCATTCCGAGTGTGAATTTATTTGAATAGTGCTTCCTGAAATTCTATTCCATTTAGTTATTTGTACTTCTCATCTTTGTTTAAATAACAAATTGTTTCCCTAAAGGAACAAGAATTATAAATAATACAACTTAGCCAACATTTTAAATAATTTAAGATATCTCCCGTGACTTCTTAAAGGGTGATTGGTTTTAAAATGGAAATTGGGAGTCGGCTGGGTAGTTTTTTGATGGTAGTGAGTAGACTTTTTCCTCTGTCTGTCACAGAATTTGAAAAATGGTGTTGCAGAGCAGACTGGTTTTTCATATGTCCTTTTAAAGGAATAACAGTTAAGACTGATTTAAAGTACTGACACAACGACTGTTTTTTATTCGACAGTAGTTTTTTAAGTTGAATGGGGCAGTGATTCATGGAATTTACTGAAAATCTGAAGAGAAAAACTTCTTTCCCTCGTCTTTTTTTGTTTTTCCCCTGAAAAATAGTTTAGTTTTGGTCTGTCTTATGAAAATTATGTCTTCCAAACCCTTAGGAATGAATTGTGCAGAATGGTCTATGCCTCCAGGAGGCCAGATTCATTAAAGGAGAATAGTGTGTCTTGTTTTTGTTGTGAATGGAAACCAGGATATTTTCACAGTTGGTTTAATTTGCTAACCAGGCAGTTTTAAAAATAGCTTACAATATAAATCCTAACTTTGCTGTATTCTGTCAAACGCACTTATATTCTGCATGGTCTAACAGAATCAATTCATTTTCAGCAAATTAGAATGCCAAACATCTAGTCTCAGTGAAATTACAGCAGAAACACTTCGGCCTGCCCCCTACCCACTTCTGTCTATTCCCACCCCAACTCTGGTCAAAGGTCTTATAATATAAAAATCATAGCTCCCATTTGTCAAAAGTCTTTTCTGCCCAAGGTACTTTGCTTAGATACTTGGTATATGTTATTTCCACTTGTTGTGTGTATTGTCATCATTTCACTCAGGGATCAAGTTTGGTAACTTGTCGGTGGTAATGCCGCGTAATGGCAGTAAAGATTTGAACCTGGACCTTTCTGACTTAAAGTGTTTTATTACATCATGGCCTTGAACCCGTATCTTTTGCCAACCTTGGGCATTATGTTCCTGGAAAGTACTGTGGTCAACAAAAGTGCAGTTGTCAAGATCAAAGTCTCAGGGATAAGAGGGAGTTGGGGGGAAACAATGAAAATGGCATTAAGTCCATTTTTAAAACACAGATGCAACTAGAAGGTATCCGTTTCCCAAACAAACCAGTCTTTATAAAAACCTGCTCTAGTAGGTAACCCCTATCCTGAATCAGCTTCTTTAGGTATTCAGGAGACATTGCTGGGGCAGATTTTCCCACAAGTTTTGTATTATACAAACTGTGCTTCTTTTACAGAGTCTTAGACAGCCTCAGTGGACTTGAAGTGTCGTGTGTTGTAGCCTTTACCGTTCGTTCTCCCGTGTTTTGTTTCATGAGTCTCACGCTGCCTAGCCTTGTCACAGATTGATTCTGGCTTTTTTGTTTGTTTTTTCTGAGCCTGCTCTGCTATCATATATTGAAACAATGATGCAGAAAGTTATCTTTTCACTAGGCCTGAACTACGCCCATAGACCTGCCCACCTCTTCCGAGCAAGCGGGGAGCCTAAGTGCTGTGTTCTTTTGTTAATGACAACAGCAGTAAAAAGGTTAAAAAATTATCTTCTTTATATCACAGAATTGCAGTTGTCAAAGGATTATTACTGTACTTTTATAAACATGATTGCGTCTTGGATAGTGGGATCTGAACGGAATACAACACGCTTGGATCCTAGAAGTGACCCGTTGCTAATTGACTTACAAAATTCCCATCCCTGCTTTCATTTTTTTAATTATAAAAGTAATACATGCTTGTTGTAAAAACATTCAGATAGTAACTATGGATATGAAAGTGAGATTGCTCTTTTATCTTCCTTCTCCTCCTAATCTTCCTGAACATTTTCTGTATATTTTGAAACAACAACTAAATAGATTTTTTTCCCCAACATAATTCTTCTGAGACTTGCTCTTTTCATTGGACAACTTTCGCAGTCTATCCCATTCTTTTAAACATCTGCAGCTGTACCATAATTTAATCATTCTTCTCTAATAGGTATTTTTGTGGTTTTCGTTTTATTACAAATAATATCTTATTGAACATCCTTATTCTTGTATCTTTATACATAGGTGTACTTCTGTACAACAGATTTCTAAATATGGAGCTGTTTGGTTAAAGGGCATGCGTATTTTACATTGAGGTAACTGCTATCTCATTGCCTTCCAGAAAAGCAATGCCAGTCAATGTTCACTCCTATCAGCACTGTGTGGGCCGGCCCATTTCCCCACACCTTTGACTGCAGTAAAATATGTAATCTTTAAACTTTGTCACTCTGAAATTTTATTGTCTTAATGTGCACTTTTCTGCTTACTAATGAGATGGAATATTGTTTGTTAGTTTAATGGCCGTTTATTTTTATTTGTGTATCACCTATTTATGTATTGTTCCTTTATTTCCATCAGATTGTTTTTATAGCTTTGTAGGAGCCCTTTGTATATTGTAGATACTAACCTTTGTCTATTGAGATGTTTGAAATATTTTCTCCCAGTCCTTATCTTTTAACACTGCAGTATCATTCATTCTAATAAACCTTTTAAATTTTTATGTAGTACAGTCTGTCAGTCTTTATCGGCTTTCATATTTTGTGCTTCCTTAGAGAAGTCTTCCCTACCCTAACGTGACTGAAATAGTGTCTTAGTCGTCTAGTGCTGCTGTAACAGAAATACTACAAGTGGATGGCTTTAACAAAGAGAAATTTATTCTGTCACAGTCTACGAGGCTAGAAGTCTGAATTCAGGGGGCCAGCTCCAGGGGAACGTCTTCTGTCTCTATTGGCTCTGGGGGAAGGTCCTTTTTATCAGTTTTCCCTGGTGAAGGAGCTTCTCCGCCTAGGGACCCCGGGTCCAAAGGATGAGCTATTCTCCTGGCACTAGTTTCTTGATGATATGAGGTCCCCCATCTCTTTGCTCTCTTCTCTCTTCTGTATATCTCAAAAGGGACTGACTCAAAACAAAACCCAGTCCTGTAGGTTGAGTCCTGCTCATTAACATAACTGCCTCTAATCCCACCTCATTAACATCCTAGAGGTAGGATTTGCAACACACAGGAAAATCACATCAGATGACAAAATGGTGGACAATCACACAACACTGGGATTCATGGCCCAGCCAAGTTGACACACATTTTTAGGGGACACAATTCAATCCATAACAAATATCCTTAGTTTTTCTGCTTTACATTTTACATTTAGACCTTTAATTGAATTACTGTTTATTTTTGTGTACGGTGTGAGGCAGAGATCTAACTTAATTTCTTCCAAATTGCTTTCTAAAATGGCTGTCATTTACTGGTGTTATTCTGCATGAGTAGCCTCTGTCACTTATGGAGGCAGTAGAGCACAAGGGTAATGTAACTTGCCCAAAGTCATAGAGCAAATTCTTGTAAGGATTAGGACTGAAATTATTTTTATTAGTGCATCTGTGCCACTTCCCTCATTACCTCATTTAACATTTCGACCAGAGGTTCTATTTAAAGTCTTGAAAAAATATTTTATTTCTGTGATGTTTACTTCTACCTATTGACAGGCAAATTAACTATGCATATAGAAAGCTCTCTTAAAAAATAATTGGCTTTTGATATTGAGAAGTATCTGTGCTAAACTGATAATATTTAGATCCGTTGTGCCGAGTTCTGGGGTGTGTGTGTGTGTGTGTGTGTGTGTGTGTGTGTGTGTGTGTGTAAGATTAGTAGATAGCTTTAAACAAGGAGCCCAAGTGGCACAGTGGTTAAGTGCTTGGCTGCTGTTATGTATTGAATTGTGTCCCCTAAAACTATGCATTGTAAATCCTAGCCTCTATGGTTATAATCCCATTTGGTAATGGGTTGTCTTTGTTATGTGAATGAGACAGGATTAGTGTAGGGCATCTTGAGTCAATCTCTTTTGAGATATAAAAGAGATTAAAGAAGCAATCAAGAGAAGCAGAGATGGGGGAAAAGAGATACCAAACCACTTGAAGATTGCCCAGGAGGAGAAGCTCAAAGAGACAAGGACCTTCCTCCCAGAACCAACAGTGAGAGAAAGCCTTTCCCTAGAGCTGGTGCCCTGAATTTGGACTTTTAGCCCCCTCAACTGTGAGAAAATAAATTTCTGTTTGTTAATGCCACCCACTTGTGGTATTTTTGTTACAGCAGCACTAGATAACTAAGAAAGCTGCTAACTGAAAGGTTGATGGTTTGAACTCACCCAGCGGTTCCATGGGAGAAAGACCTGGCGATCTGCTTCTCTAAAGATTACAGCCTAGATGTGGGTTCCATGGTCTCGGGGAACATCTAGCTCAATAGACATAACATAGCTTATAAAGATAATGTTCTACATTCTACCTTGGTGAGTAGCGTCTGGGCTCTTAAAAGCCTGTGAGCAGCCATCTAAGATAACTCCACTGGTCTCACCCCTTCGGGAACTAGGGAGAATGAAGAGAACAGGACACAAGGGAAAGATTAGTCCAGAGGACTAACGGACCACAGCTACCATGGCCTTCACCAGACTGAGTCCAGTACAACGAGATGGTGCCCGGCTACCATCACTGACTGCTCTGACCGGGATCACAACAGAGGGTCCTGGACAGAGCTGGAGAAAAATGTAGGACAAAATTCTAACTCACAAAAAAAGACCACATTTACTGGCCTGACAGAGACTGGAGAAACCCTGAGAGTATGGCCCCTGGACACTGTTTTAGCTTAATAATGAAGTCACTCCCAAGGTTCACTGTTCAGCCAAAGATTAGACAGCCTCATAAAACAAAACGAGTCTAATGAGGCACAGTAGTCCAGGGACAAGGACTAGAAGGCAGGAGGAGATAGGAAAGCTGGTAATAGGGAAACCAAGGTTAAGAAGGGACAGTGTTGACATGTCATGGGGTTGTTAACCATTGTCATAAAACAATATGTGTACTAACTGTTTAATGAGAAGCTATTTGTTCTGTAAACCTTCATCTAAAGTACAATAAACTAAAATAAAATAAAGATTACAGCCTAGAAAACCCTATGGGGCAGTTCTGCACTGTCACATGGGGTAACTATGAGTTGAAATATACTTCAGGGCACGTAACAACAACAATATAACTTTAAACACTTTATATTTTTTCAATATTATTGCTTTTCAATGGAGTTTATTTGCAGTTAGAATATCTAATACAATCGTTTTTCTTAGGTTATTCACTTTAAGAGCTACTGTAGCAAATCAGAGGAGCCCTGGTGGCACAGTGGTTAAAATACTGGGCTGCTAACCGAAAGGTCGACGGTTCAAACCCACTAGCCACTCCGCAGGAGAAAGATGTGGCAGTCTGCTTCCGTAAAGATTTACAGCCTTGGAAACCCTATGGAGCAGTTCTACTCTGTCCTATAGGGTCACTATGAGTCGGAGACAGCAATGAGTTTTGGGTTTTGGAATTATAGGGCATTAAATTTAGCTTGTCTGATTTGCTACCCGCCAAAACCAAACCAAACCCTCTATTGAGTCAACTCTGACTCATAGCGGCCCTATAGGACAGATTAGAACTGCCCCGTAGGGTTTCCAAGGCTGTAAATATTTACGGAAGCAAACTGCCACATCTTTTTCCCGCAGTGCGGCTGGTGGTTTTGAACCGCCGACCTTTTGGTTAGCAGCCAAACGCTTAACCATTGTGCCACCAGGGCTCCTGCCCTGTAATTACTATGTGAAAATTACACAGCTTTAATGATATGTATAACACAGAAGTAATTATAAAAACTATTACAGCTTTTCAAAAAGCAGCATGGGCAGGTCCTTACTCATAGATTGTGTTTGACTATGCTTATTGAAAGTTCATTTCAGATAAAGTGTTTCTACCCAGGCATGCTTTTGATATGTTGTAAATGATTTTGAAGTTAAATATTAGTTTTAGTGTAGTAATGAGTTTGCCCCCCCTTTTTAATATAACTTACAAACAAGTCTAAGCTTTAAGTCTTCATGCCAGAATTGACTTATATTCTCAAAAGATCCTTAATTCGTGTTTAACATATGAAGTTGCCTCAATTTTTTGTAAATTTTTGTTGATTGAATTTTCTTAATTCTTCTGGCTCATTTTACAAAGGGGATCATTAAAAACAAATCTCATTTTATAATGTATTTTATAGATAGTATCAACTTTTGAGAGTCCCTGGGGATGCAAATGGTTAAGTACTCAACTTACCAGCTGAAAGCTTGGTGGTTCTAACCCACCCACAGGTGGCTTGGAAGACACGCCTGGGGATCTGCTTCCAGAAGATCATAGCCTTGAAAACTCCTATAGAGCAATTCTACTCTGCCACACATGGGGTTGCCGTAAGTTGTAATTGACTCAATGGCAACTGGCAACAACATCCCCTTTTGAGGGATTGTTGGTCAAATTAATTATATCTATTCCTATATGTCTATATTTCTACTCCCTTAGGGTGCCGTCTTGTCGCTCTCTAAGGCAGGAACTGTTCAGAGCTTGCATGGGAGACCTTGAGGAAATCAAAATGTTGAAGACAGTTTTATATTGATGATTCAGAGGGAAGAATGTAATTTACTGAGTCAGCACAGCTCTTTATACCCTATGTGGTGTGAAATAGCTTTTGTGCTTGAGGAGCTGTTTTTTAAATGTCTTTAACTCCAACGTCTTGATTAAATTAGCTTCTTACTAATTACATTCTTCCCAACCTAAATGTCTAGTTTATAAAATGCCCTTTTTATTTTTCTGAATTATTAATTATAATTAAAATATAGACCTTTCTTAAGTTTTAACAGTTTGCCCTTACTTTATTTCTGTTCCTATTCTAACTCCTTAACCCTTTCAGGACTGGTGATATTAAAAAAAAAAAAACAAGCCCACTGCGTTCAAGTCAATTCCGACTCATAGCAACCCTATAGAGTTTCCAAGGCTGTAGTGTATATATAGTTACCACTTACTTTTCTACCTCTGGGATTCTTTGGGAAGCTGCGGGCCCACTGACAGTATGTACTGCCAGAAGGCAGGGCCCTATATAACAGTTTGAAATGTTGTAACAGAAAAAACAGGTATATTCTGCAAATTATTGTTTTTGCAGGGTATTGTATGAGGTAGCACTGAATCATTGAATTTTTGGTAGGAAAAACATGAGTTTTGAAAATTTTTATATATGTACCTCTGAACTCGGGGGCTAGAATTTGTGTTCACAACAGTTGCACATATATACTTCTGGATTCCAAGGGTATGATTTGTGGAATGAGGCATAAAACAAAAATCATACTACCTACCAAATGATTCAGCATAGCCTCTATTACTGAAAATACATGCTATCAATAAAAAGGAAAAAGTAATTGGGTCACGAAATTAACCTATATTTATATCTTCTTCAGATTTGCCTTATAATTCACTTATAATTCACTGTGCCTTTTATTCGCCCCAGATCTCCACATTAAGGGTTCCTTTTACTTGGATAGTCCTTGTTTCATATTTGACCAATTTAACACCAAGCTCTTTGGAAACCATTTTCCTATGTGTTTGTTTAAAAACTTTGGGCACTCTGTAGTCTCTTCTAAATACAGAAAAAATGAAAACATTTCCAAATTACTTATTTTATAATTACCCTCAAAACATGAACTTTGGTATTTGGCCATGTTGTTGTTAGGTACCATTGCGTCGATTCCAACTCATAGTAACTCATATTCTGTTACCCCATGTAACAGAATAGAACTGCCTGATAGGGTTTTCTAGACTGTAATCTTTACAAGAGCAGATCCCCAGGTCTTTCTCCTATGGCCCACTGGGTGGTGGGGTGGTGGCAGGGTTCGAACTGCAAACCTTTTGGGAAGCAGCCAAGTGCTTAACCATTGAGCCACCAGGGCTCCTAGGAAAGGTTTTTTTTGTTTGTTTTTTAGGTTTTTTTTTTTGCTTTGTTTTGTGTAGTCTGCCATCAAGTTTTCACCAGTTTTATTTTCTTTGAACCATTAAAGT